GAGTACTCAGACACTCACCCAACATAGCATTCAAGCATGCAGTTCACTCTAACCATATGAGTAGTCCCACTGGTGTCACAAGGGCTGCCTTGAAGCTCAGGTCTAGAACTGCCCCTACCTTGGTATGGCTCCTCAGGGCTTCTACACAGGTACAAGCTTCTACCCCTAACCAGTGAGGAAGGGCTTGTTCTCCTGTTAGCTGCTTGAATGTCACTCCCATTGCCTTTGGTAGAACTGTAACCCATGGCTAGAAGGAGAATATGGCTTGGAATGTCATGCCAAAGGTGAAGGGGACAGAGTGAGTGGATATCAAATTCCATCCTTGAATATGTCCTAGACACTACCTTATTCGGGCAGAGTATGGCCTGGAATGGGGAGCAGCAGTGGTGACTGAAAGAAAAAAAGTTATATCTTATGTAAAAATGAGTTCTTCCCCACTCAACAGGGCATGAGGCTCAGGAAGTAATACCACCATCCAGGTGCCAGGTTTCATCCTGGTGTGGATTGATAATTTTTTGCAGGCTATGTCCAGTGCAGATGCTCTCTCTGATGCTTTCTCTTACTGCAGCTTTATCAGCCTCTCAATCTCCGTGTGGCCTTAATAGGCCTGGAAGTCTGGAATGACAGAGACAGGATCACTGTGAGTCCCAACCCAGACACCACGCTGGAAAATTTCCTTCTCTGGCGAGATACTCACCTGATAAAGAGGAAGAAGCATGACAATGCACAGCTGATAACGTAAGTGCTGCTCTTATACTGCCCACATGAATAATTCACTGGCTGCATGGGCATGGCTGAGCACTGTGCATTCACATATTACAGAATCTGATGCTGTACAAACACCAAGACATATCAGTGCAGGCATGCTGTGAATGCCCTCAGCCCTGACTTCACACAGCTTGCCAGCACATGCAGCCTTCCAAGAATGTGACATGTCCCTTTAAAGTAACAGGAACACTCATGGGCAAGAATTTCTACATATGCTGTAAGCCTGAGCTCTCTGACTTTAAGGAACTGTAAAAGTATCATGTGTCCGTGCAGGGCCCTTCCAGCCCAGTATCCGGTGTCTAGCATGAGCTGGTACCAGCTACTTCAAAAGAAGACCTAAGAGTAACTTCAAAGGGTTACTTGGGGAAACTTGCTTTTGGGGGAAGAAGTGTTCTCTATACCTCTGTTAACATGGGCTTGGCTTCTGCCTTATAGCAGATCTCTCAAATTGTGGGAATAGCATTGGGGAGAATTTAGGGCAGGGGTGGGCAAAATGCAGCCCGTGGGCCAGATGCGGCCCGCCAGACCATTCTATCTGGCCCGCGGGGCCCCTAAAATATTTAGAAAATCAATAGTTATCTGCCCCTGGCTGCCTGTCATGTGGTCCTCAATGGCTTGCCAAAACTCAGTAAGCAGCCCTCCACCCAAAATAATTGCCCGCCCCTGATTTAGAGGTTCTGGGCTTGCAGGGGGTTGCTGGCATATTTGATGGTACCAGGAACAGCTAGGATAGACTATGGGCAGCTGGAGGGTGCTATGGTAGATTTGTTTTACTGGATGAGCTAATGATGTTGAGAGAACTGTGAATGTGGCATAGATAGGATTGTAGATGATAGGATGTGTTTGAAGGACACAGTACCACACCATCACCATTCTGTTTCTTCTCTCAAGCATAGCCAGGAGTGACTGTGAAGGTCACATGTCAGCAAAGAGAAGGAGAGAGGACAGGATTTGTTCTCTCCCTGCACACTGGCTCCATGGACCTTGGTGTGCTTTGCCATAGCCAATACTTTGTGTATTCTTGTGAACTGTGTTACCAAGAGCAGGGTAGGTTCTGGGTTTACATTAGGTTCTGTATCAAAGCTTGAAACTTTCTGTGTTTTGCAGTCACTTCCTTGATCCCAAGCATGTGGAACAGCATATCCTGTGCTGTGCTACTGGGAATATATGTGGCCTCACCATACAAAATCCCCGGACTGGTCTTGGATGCTGATCATCATTTTACGAGAACTGTTCTTTTTTACAGAGGGATAGACTTCCAGGGAACCACTGTAGGGCTTGCTAAGAAGTTTGCCATGTGCACCAGGAACTCAGGAGGAGTGAATCAGGTGTGTCTTGCTAACAGCTTTCTTTCTAAACAAGACGGGAGGCACAGTAGTAATTCACAGAGCTGAGGTATATATCAGACAGCCTTTGCTGGCAAACACCCTGCCCTCTGCTTTTGTCTGATTATTCCCATCCTAAACTTGGATCCCTACTACTCTTAAGCCAGTTCCTGTTTCACTTACTGGGTGTCTGAATGGTACCTTAGGCACCTAAGTGCCATTCTATTCTACCCTGCACAAGTCCCTGAAAATCATCTGCAAAGCATACCATCATCTGAGCCTTAAGACTGAGTCTCAAAAAAGCAGTGAAGAGAAGGAGGATCACCCACTTTTGGTATTAACAGTTTTTCATGGACTTTAGCAAGTTGAAATAGGATCACATTTAGGTACCTAAGTGTACTCATGTACCTAATTGTTAGGATAGAATATGGAACCTAATGTTTTCCAATCAAAAGGAAGACTGTCTGCATTTTGCCTTCTTGAGAGTAAGTGGCATATGTTCACATAGTCATGGAGAGTCTGCCTCCATCCTTCTCTATCCATAGGCCTCTTTTTGCAAGATCAGGGGAATTAGGAAGGCCAAATCCTGCCCAGATGACATAATCCAGCAAGATGCCTGACCTAAACTCTTATGGCTTATGTCTGTACTCAGATGCCTATGAGCTGCTTCTCTTGGCTTTGGCCAAAATTGGCCCTGGTGGCACTTTGTTTCCTCACCATTGATGTCCTGATAGGAATGAGTTACATGGTAGGTGAGGGTGGGTTCCCATGGTTAGTCACTCTCTTTGAATGTTCTCCTCAGCTCCTTCACCATGTCTGCTCTATTCCCCCAGTCCCTAGGAAGTGAGCTCTTGATAGCTGAAATTGTTGTGGAAGAACAATGTTATTCCATGTTTCCTGGAAGTAGCTGACTCCTGAATTTGGGGTCACCCAGTGCACCTGTGTAGCCTGCTTTCAAAAGAATCGCTGTAACTAGAGGTGCACCAACACATCATTCCATATTGTATCAGCACTGATAAGAGGAAAATTGACATTATCAGCAATCGGCTTTTTTTGACTGTTGTGACCGATAACGTTGCTGATAAATGCTGTGTGCATGTGTGCAGCTGCAGCATGCATGCGACCAGCTTGGCAGCATGAAGAGCAGCATCCAGCTGGTAAATCTGTTAGGGTGAAGGGGCATGGAGGAGGGAAGGCATGTGTGGGGTGGGGGGGCAGATCAAAGCCCCTACGGTGAGAGAGGGAGTGGGGCTGGAGCTGGGTAGGCACTGCCCAGCTCGGGGCGAGGTGGGGGGTGTGGCACAGGCGCAAGTGGCTTATCAAGGGGGTGGGGGGTGGCTCCTGCCACTGTGCAAACCCCCAGGGGAGGCATGGGGGGGCATGTGCCCCCCATCTGTGCACGGGGTGAAGGTGGGCTGCTGCTGCTGGCTGGGGCCAGGGCCAGCACCAGGCACTTCCAGGGCTGGGCCAGGGCCACTCTCAGGGCAGGCGGTGGCTCTGGAAGGCGGGGCTACGGGGGGGCTAGAGCCATAGTACCCTCTGATCCCCCTCCCCCCCCCAGTGCTGCCACTGCCCGCCCCAAGTATAGTTCCGGCCTGTGGGAAAAACCCAACTCTAGCCCACAGTGGCAGCCCACTCGCCCTATGCACAGATCTGTGGGGCATATGCCCCCTGTGCCTCTCCCGGGGGTGTGTGCAGTGGTGGCAGCCACCCTCCCTCCTGCACCCTGGACAATACGCTTGTGGCTCTGTCCCACAACCAGCCCTGGCTGGGCAGCGCCTGCCCCAGTCCCAGCCCAGCCCCACACCCTTCCTCACCATGGGGGCCTTGATCTTCCCCCCCACACCTTTTCCCTCCCCTTCGTCCCTTCCCCCCAAAAGACTTACCAGCTGAATGCTGCTTTCTAAGCTGCTGGGCTGCATATAGGCAATCAGATGTGGCGCAATAATAAACGGCCATCGGTATTGGCCCTAAAATCTGTATCAGTGTGCCCCTAACTATAACCATTTTGTTTAAGACCCTTAAGACCCTGAAGTCAGTGGAACTTCACACACACATACAGAGGTTGTAGGACTGTACCTGTAAAGCTTTAACCTTTGTTTAGCCCTGTATGTTAGCTTCAACGCATGAATTGCACACAGAGTTTAAAGTTGGGAAAAAATAACATGGAAGCATTTTAGTGTCATCTGACTTTCATCCTTCTTATTATTGCATAGGACCATAGCATGAATCCTATTGGGGCTGCATCAACCATGGCTCATGAGATGGGACACAATCTAGGAATGTCTCATGATGAAGACATTGATGGCTGCAGGTGCATGGCCCCCAAAACTGATGGAGGATGTGTTATGGCAGCAAGTGTTGGGTAAGCAGAAGAGAATTGCTAGGGGCCTCATCATGCAGCGATTGAACCCAATAGGCCAATGTCACCGTAGATTAGGAGGTTGCTCCCACTGAAATTGTTGACCTAAGTGAGAACAGATCAACTCCTCGTGGTTATTTACTGCTCTAACAGTGAGTTTTTTGCTTTTTGAGGTGGAGTGGGCAAAGGTCAGGTTGGGTTGGTGAATGTGAAGGTTTTGGAGCTTTTACTTGGAAAGTGCTGCTCACAATAGTGTCTATTTTTCTTTCTCTTCAGCATAATTTACCCAAAGTACTTCAGCAGCTGTAGCACAAGTGACCTGCAGACATTTCTCAGTGACCCCAGAACTAGCTGCTTGCTGAATGTCCCCAAGGCTGATGAGTTGTATGGCGGGCCTGTCTGCGGGAACCAGTTCATAGAGCGAGGGGAGCAGTGTGACTGTGGAACACCCAAGGTACTTTAACTCCCAGTGGAAGATTTCAAATGGGGGAAAGCAACAGAAGTGCGAGTTCTATATGACACCCAGTTGTTCTGCCCTGTGTATTTGTTAACCTGAGTCAGGAAGCTGGTTCTTTTGCCACAAGCAGGTCAGCTGACCACCCAGATATTGCAAGTTCTGATGAATAATACTTCCTTCCTGCGCTTTGTCATTCAATGTTGCATATATTCTGGTTAAAAGTAACCTGTGAAATATGTCTGTTATCTTAGACTCGCATCCCTTTGTTTTGTTTCTTTATAGGGGAAGCAGAGGACCTGAAGGTCTGTTTAATGTAATAAAGGGTTGTATCTGCTTCTTTCTACCTCAGAAATGCCAAGGCTGCCTCTCCCCAGGTCTGCTTGATGTTTTTTTGGAGGGTTCCAAATATGTATGCTGATTCTGATTGATGTATTACACAGTTCCTACAGGCCACAGCTGAGATCTGGCTCCCAGTGTGCCAGGTGCTGCACAGAAATTGAGAGAGAAAGACTGCTCTGTTTTTTAGAGCTCTGACCAAAGCAGTGTGGCACAAGATAGAGGAGGATAAGGTGCACAGGAAAGGAAGCATAGGAAAATGTGACATTGACAATGACAGGAGAAGCATTTGTTTAGGTTGGCTTTAATTTAGATTTTTGGTACAAAAATCCTCTTCTCCCAACTGGCTGGAAAGTGTAGAGTGGGAGGAACAGGATGTCAACTGGGCACCCCTCACTACAGATGGGTATGGGCTAAGACCTCAAACCTTAATTAAAGGAACAGGGTGCTGAATCCTTCCCTACAGCCCTAAAGGGTGCCATTTATCCTGGTATTTATAGCAGCAGCAGCATCTGTTCTCATAGCAAATATTTCACTGTTTTCTGTATGTAGAAACAAGCAATACCAGCATAAAGTTCTTCTTAGTTCAATGACTGCATTTACACTAGTGATTGCATGGATTTAACAACCTTGATTTCCAAACTGGTATAATTACATTGATTCAGAAAATGTACATGGGCCTGCCTGAGAAAGCCCTAAAGAGCATGCCCTCCTTATTTCCCTTTGAATGTCCTCTTTAGATGACAGATCTGCTTCGGGAAAATAACTAAAGTTAGCTAAGCAGTAACAAAATACTGATTTGCTAATCTATTTATGTGTAAAAGTGCTGAGTTTATGCTGCTGTCATTTGTGGGGTCATATATATCATATACATGGGTGAGTGTTGAGTTTAAATTTATGAAAGTGGTCAGAAATGCCCCATGTTTCCTGTTTAGTAGGACTGAGTTTCATCCAGTAATTTGAACCAGAAAGCATGTTATTAACTATTCGTTATTCTCTAGTTTTAAAAGTTGAAATTCTTCCATATGCTTGAGATCACTGGTCACACCCCTTGACTAATGCAGAGGAAGTAGCTGAAGCAAATACTTTGCTAATAGCTCTTCAGCTGAACATGGTTTGTGAGAATTCACTGGGTAGTTCTGAGAAATCATTAAGAAATCTTTGGCAGCCTGAGTTGATTAAAAATGCTACATCATAGATGGACAAAAAAAACTGCCTACATAACAACTGTTTTTCATGATAACTAGTTCAACAGTCTGTAAAACTTGGAAATGGACTATCATTCTTTTAAATTCATTTTAATATAATTTTAGCAGTAGTATATCTAGGAGAGGAATCACATATTTCTAGGGAATGGAGAAGTGGATTGTAAAATTGTTTTACTGGGTATTTCACAAGGAGTAGAGGATGCTCAACATATTAATAGGGTCATGATTGCAATGCCAGCTTTGTGGACGCAAGACACTTTTATCACAAATGTCTGTTTTCAGATGTGTGTTTTTTTTGTGAATTAAGCATCCTTTGGACTGTAATTTCCATCATGTTTCTTAAATTCAAAGTTGAAAGGTGCTAGCATTCCATGTGGTCAAGGAAGAGTTAGCCCTGCATGGAAAGCAATGTATTTTACCAGTCAGGGCCAGGACCTTTGTCTATTGGCAGAAGTCTGTTTAAGCCACCTGATTTTGAGTGTTAGAAATCTACCTCATTCTTACACAGGCTGCCATTTTGCCCTTGCATTTTAATAGTATTCCAAAGTGAATTTTCCTAACTCACTGCTGGTATAGCACAGCAAAGCCTGCTTCTGTCCACTGTGGCCGGGGAAATCACACGGGCATCACGACAGCACCTACACAATGGGAATGGGAGATACAAATTCAATACCAGGTTTGCACACTCAGGAACTTTCAAGCAAGTGAATCTGCAGTTGGAGACTCATCCCTGGTGCACACAGAAATTGTTCTGAGTTCAGTATTGTTCAGTATTTTCATTAATGACTCGGAGGATGGAAGTGGACCAGATCCTATTTATCTTTTACACAAGTGGTAATTACATAGCAGCTTTTGGTGATTATGCTTGGTTTGGGATTCTGTTTCCATCTATGACAGAACCCCTGTCCCTGTGCCTGCATACCTGCCAGAATTAAAATGGAGGAGGAGAGGCTTCCCAGCTCTTTGCCCAATAGCCTCGTGTTTACAGTGCCTGTGCAGGGAGCAGGAGACACAGGTTCTGGACACCCTTCACACAGAGTGGTTTGAATCTGCATTTCTTGCTTTTCAGCAAAGTGCCTACCCCCAACAGGCTAGGTATTGCCCAGGGTACTCTCCAGCCCTCCTCTTAAACTTGGCCCACTGGGCAGCCAAGCAGGGAGGCCAGGAAGAAGTAAATGAGCTGAAAGGTATGTGGTTCAATAAAGGAACGCTAGCTTGGAAGGGAGGGGGCCCTGAGCCCAGTGGGACAAAAACTTTCCCTATGATGTTTATCAATTGATTAGAAGAAGCCCGCAGACTTGTTTCAAGGTATAAGAACTGAGCAGTGCATAGCCTATGGTCTTGTGGCTGGAGCACTTTGCTAGGAAGCAGAGATGTAGTTCAAACCTACTCTGGATGAGGGGAACCTAGAAACTGGGTCTCTTGCTCCTTGTGCAGCTACCCTAACCACTGCATCTTGAATGAAAGGGTGGGAGAGCTGTCCTCCTCCATCTAATGCTTACTAGTTGTGACTAAAGAGTCAGGACTTATTTGGAGCTTAGTGATTCTGTTCCTCTTGGGCAGGTACCTGGCCTGGGTGCAGCCTCAGTAAGTTTGCAGGTAGCACAAACCTAAAACAGTTTGGAGGACAGGATTTGGATTCAAAGTTACCTTAATAAACTGGAAAAAATGGCATGCCAAATCATGAAATTCAATAAGGGTAAGTTTAAAGTACTGCACTTAGGATGGGAAAAAATCAAATACACAGATATGAAATGGGGGATAATTGATTAAACTGTGATACTGCAGGAAAGGACATAGAAGTTATAGTGGATCATAAGATGAATAGGACTCAACAAGGTAATATTGTTGCAAATAAAGCTAACAGCGTACTGAAATGTATGAGGTAAGACTCAGAATCCCACTGAATGGTGCAGGACTTTGTCCTGTAATTGGATCTGCCTCTAAGGTAGCTGTGGCACACTGGTGGCCACTCTAAGCCCATTTCTCACTCGGTCTCAAAAGAATACTGCCCTATACTTGCCTGCCATGCCGAGATGGTAGATAATATAAATTTGGGAGACAGACCTCAGATAACCAAAGTGAGCCTTTAGTTGCCTCACTGTGCCCTGCTTATCATCATACCACCTTGGTCTGGACCAGTCTTTAAGTAGAGGTGTCGCACACCAATTGTCCTCTGTCAGAGCACTCTCTCTTTGGTCCCCAACTAACAGTTCTTGTTCCAGGCTCTTAGTTACCACCCTTGCATTCAGGCCCCTCACTCATGGGCCTAAAGTCTCCTGCCCTAAGTTGACTAAACAAACTTGCAGTGCCTTCCCCAGGCTCCCACAGTGGTCTTTGTGCTCACCATCAGCCACTCCCATGCCTTGCAGCTAAACACAAACAGCATCATTAACACAGTAACTAACTCATCTGAAGGTAGTGTAACAGGCAAATAAAATCCCTCCACTACAAGGTGGCTCTCGTCCTTGCCAGCTGCTCAGGATTGTCTTACAACAGGGGTGGGCAAAATGCGGGCTACATACGGCCCGCCAGGCCAGTCTATCAGGCCCGTGGGGACCCTAAAAATTTAGAAACTTAATATTTATCTGCCCCTGGCTGCCTCTCATGCAGCCCTCAATGGCTTGCCAAAACCCAATAAGCAGCCCACCCCTGTCTTATAGCCTGCAGCTAGTGGTTTCTGTTCAGCAGTCTTCACATTTGCCTCTTGATAACTCCTTTCTCCTCTGTCTCTAGGCCATAATAACTCTCCATCCTAGAAGCCAGGCTTATATAGCCTTTTGGGTCCATCCTTTCTGGTCACCTGCCTTCCTTTTGTGACAAGGCCCAAGGACTCTTCATCAAGCCATCTGCAATGCCCATCTCTATCCTTTCTACCCTTCAAGTGTTTGAAAACTGTAATCAGTTCCCCCTCCATTCTTCTCTTCTCCAGACTAAATAACTCTGCTTCTTTCAACCTTTCCTCATAAGACTTGCCTTGCAATCCCCTAATAATTTTTGTTGCTCTGCTTTGGACTTTTTCCAAAATGTCCATATTCTTCTTGAAGTGTGGGGCCCGAAAGAACTCCAAGTGAGTCTTCACCAGTGCTGAATAGAGTGGAAGAATCACTTCCTTTGATTAGCAAGTGACATTCCTGTTAATACAACCAAGTTTGCTGTTAGCTTTTTTTGCAACAAGAGCACACTGTTGGCTCATATTTACCTTATGGTCCCCAGATCCTTCTCTGCAGTACTGCAGCCTAGCCGGTCATTCCCCAGTCTGTATTTAAGCATGCAATTTTTCTGTCCCAAGTACAGGATATTGCATTTGTCCTTGCTGAATCTTATCTGGTTAATAGCAGACCATTTTCCCAGTCTACCCAGGTCATTCTGGATTCTAGCCCTACTTTCTAGAGTATCTGCAAATCCACTCAACTTGGTGTCCACAGATTTGCTGAGTACGCACTTAATCACATCATCCAAGTTATTAATGAAGATGTTAATACCAGATCCAGGACAGACCCCTGGGAAACCCCATTTGATGCATTCTCCCAAATAGACACTGAGCAATTGGCAACAAATAGGGGCAGCTACCAGACAATGAGCACAGTTGGCAGCAAAGACAGGGAAGCAGACAAACAGCCTAGAGTACGGCAGACACTGAGCCGCTGAGTACAATGAACCACCAATTATGTATCCACCTTACAGTACTTTTGTCTAGTCAGTATTTCCTTAGCTTGTTAATGAGAATGTTGTGAGAGACGGTGTCAAAAGCCTTATTAATGTGAAGGTATATCACGTCCACTGCTCTCCGCCATCTACAGATACTGTTACTTTATCATAGAAGGAAATTGGGTTGGTCAGGCATGACTTGCTCTTGGGAAATCCATGCTGGCTGATCACCTTGTTCTCCCTTGAGTGCTTCACAGTGGATTCCTTGAGGACCTTCAGCCATGATCTTTCTAAGGTATTGAGGTCAGGCTGACTAGTCTCTAGTTCTTCAGACCCTCCTTCTTCCTTTTCATAAAGATGGACACTATATTTGCCTTTTTCCAGTCATTTGGTATCTCATCCAACCTCCATGAGTTCTCAGAAAGGATAGCCGGTGGATCTTGGCTAGTTCCTCATCTAGTTCCTTCACTACCTTAGGGTGTAACCCATCCAGTCCTGCTAACTTGAAACCATCTAGCTTCTCTAAGTAATCCCTAACCTGTTCTGCCTTATTCTAGGCTGTTTGTCTGCTTCCCTGTCTTTGCTGCCAACTGTGCTCATTGTCTGGTAGCTGCCCCTATTTGTGAAGACTGAAGTAAAAAAGACATTAAATTCTTCAGCCTTCTCTGCATCATCCATAGCTGGATTGCCTTCTGTATTCCACAAGAGACCTTTTGTTTCTCTGGTCTTCCTCTTATTTTTTACATATTTATAGAATCCCTTTTTACTGACTTGTATGTCCCTCGCCAGCTGCATCTCAGTTTGTGCCTTCACCTTCCTAATTTTCTCCCTGTGTGTCCATTTGATGCTCTTATACTCTTCCCTAGTACTATGACCAAGTTTTCACTTTCTGTAGGATTCCTTTTTGCATGTCAGCTCATCAAAGAGATTGTCATCTAGCCAGAAATCTTGTTGCACTTCCCATTCTTCCGTTGCAATAGAATGACTTACTCCTGTGCCCTTAATGTGGCCTCCTTAAAGTGCATCCTGGACTCATTTTCCCCTCAGACTTGCCTCACAGGGGATCCTGCCCACCAGTTGCCTGAGTTTGTTAAAAGTCTGCTTTTCTGAAGCCCAGTATTCCTATGCTGCTGCTCTCCTTCCTTCCTCCCCTTAGGATCTTTGGGCACCTGTACGCATGCTAGACATGTGCTCCGACATGTGCTGATTAGCACGCATCAGATCAGATTTGATTAATTGGGTCTGCTGGAGCATGTTAATTAATACGCTTCAGCAGCCTCTGCATTATGTCTATTTAGCATTCTACATTTCAAAATGGTGGCGGGGGTGCTTCAACTAAATCTAGTTGAATAAGCTTTAGTTCAAGTATCCCTACCACCATTTTGAAGCATGGGGCACTGAATACACATGTGGTGGTTGAGAACCACTGTGTTCTCAAAAGGTTGAGCCACTTTGTTAGTTGTTTTGAATCTGGGCTTTCCAGGTTTGCATTGAGATCCTTGAACTTCTGAGTCTGAAAATCAGTCCAGGGCAGCCAGTCTGTAAAGCACAAAACTACATTCTAGGCCTGAAGGTTAGCCAGTCTAAAGGAGCAGTATGAAGTCATCAAAGAATTACAAAAAGGATGTTTTCCAGATGCTCCCACCAGGGCATTATTTTACTGTTTATCAGTTCACAGACGCCCCATTTGTGATGGCGTGGGGTCAGGGAGGGGGGTGCTAACGCACTACATTCTGTTCTTGTCGCCGCCTTCCTGGTGGGTCTGAGATTCTGTCATTCTACTTCTATAAAACAGGGAGAACAACACTTTTCCTGCACCAGAGAGCAAAAGTAGTGTAGAAGACCTGTGTGGAACTAGACTGTCCACATTTCCATAATCAAAAGTTAACAACAAACTTTTGTGTGAGTAGGAATATGGCATGAGTGTAATTAACACAGTGTATGACCAGCCATGGGCTATTCTCCTCCAGCAGGAGTCAGCAACATATGGCAAACCTTGAGGCCTTTGCCTGTGCCCATGCCCGTGTCCACTCCAGGGCTGGGAAGCAAGAAGCAGTGCTAGGGCTGAGCAGCTTTAAGCTGTGCCAGGGCTTCTGCTGCTTCTCCCTATTCCTTGCACCCCCATCCCTCTCTCCCAGCTCCAGTCCAACACAACCTGGGTGGTTTCAGCAGCACATCAGTGACGGGATTTCTTTGCATCCTCATCAAAGCCAGGCAGCTGGGAGCTCTGCATACATTGCCACCGCTTCCTCCACCCTCCAGCTCCCTGGGTGGAGTGCTTGGAGTGCAGGTGCAGCTGCCAGCCAGTGGGAAGTTGTGCAAACTGCATCTGTGCTGCCGCTGCTTCTCCCACGCTCATCCAGTTGTGGTACAGGCAACATCCTGCACTGGGGTCAGGCAACATCCTGCTGTAGAGTGGTGAGAAGGGGCGTGGGGAGAAGCATGGATCAACAGCAGCATGGATCTAGTTTGCCAATATCTGGTCCTGGCACAGCTCCCTGCTGGCTGAAAGCTGTGCCTATGCCACAGCCAGGGTGTAGGGGGCTGGGAGAAGCAGCAGCAGTGCACAGTCTGGATCCATGGCTATTGGGAACACACAAGGCCCTGTCTGACCAGACTTCTTTGCAATCAGCAGAAGTGAGGTAGTTGTGCCCCATAGTGGCAATAGACATTGGGATGGATTCAAAACCCTTTTCCAGGCAGTGCCCTTGATGGGTTTCAAAGTATTCTAGGAGGTGTGTTGGTCACTTGCTGTTCACTGTGCCACTGCCATGCCCTTTATATCTACTCTTTAATACCAATGTGATGTGTTTGTCTCAGGAATGCCGGGATCCCTGCTGCAATGCTACCACCTGCCAACTCAGCGAGGGAGCAGAGTGCGCTCATGGAGAATGCTGTCATCAGTGCAAGGTAGAACACAACTGCTAGGAGCTACCATGGGAGAGCACAGACACCTGACAAAGGCCTTATTCAGTCAGGGAAAAAGTGCAAAAAATGAGACAGGTCCTTTCTTTTCTAGCAGTGAAAATACCCATCCCAGGGGATACATTTCTCACATTTCATGGCTAATTCATGGTTTCAAAATGAGCTGTAAATGCTGAAAAACTGAACTTGTTAGAAGATCAGTTAAGAATTTATACTGTGGATGGTTTGGGCTTGAGAGCAGGTCTAGGGGCAGGACTAAGTAGCAGTGCAGAAATACTCTGAGGTATTCAGAGATCAGCAACCATGCCTGATTTCTCAAGTAATCCCTGACCAAGCCTGAAGAACCACTCTGAGGTCAGCTGATGCTTTTACATGCATGGGTCTCAAAGTGTGCTAGTCGGTTTGCTAGTTTGTTGGTTGACTTCTAGTTCTTTCCAGCTTTTTTGTCTGACAGTGAGTATAACCTAGATAAATATAGGTTGGTCAGCCCAACAGCATGGAGTAACTGGTGAAATCGATATAAGTTGTGTCAAATAAATATTTTTATATGTTGTTGAATTTACAAGTTTGTCTCATAAAAAGAATTGGGCTGATCAAATTTTGAATTCTGAAAGGTCTTTGAATTAGTCCTGTCTGATGTTCTGATAAAAAAACAATCACTGTACAAAATCAGTGTAACCCTTATAAACGAGCTTAAAAAGTAAATTTAAATACCATATCATTGCCCTTTGTTTCTAGTGGGGTGACACAGGGCCCCAATCTGTTGAAAGATGTTTGGTAGTCAATATCTTTTTATACAGTCTGAAAGAAAATATAAAATAAGTTTTGGTAGACATTTTTGATGACACAAAATCAGCAAAGTAATAAATAATGATGGGGACAGGACAGTTATACAGATCAACCTAGATTTCCCTCAGGCCCAGCTTGCAGTCTGATCGTAAGTGAACATGTGTTCATTGGTTTCCTCTGTGCCTGAGAGAGGGCACCGAGGTGAGCCTGGAGTAGCCTCAGTGACAGTTCACACTTGCATCAACACTTCTCTGGCTGCCTGAAGCCACTTGCCATGCTCTCAACTCCTTGCCTGCAGTGTCGGGGGGATTACTTAGGAAGGCTCCTCAGTGTCATTTTCTAAAAAGAAGCCTTTTTCTAGTGAAGGGAGGTCATAATCGAGGGTCAGCAGTGAAGCTAGACTCAGCCCTTTTCACACTGACCAGTCAGCAAGCCAAAAATGTGTAAAGCAAGGACAGCCTAGTTCTGTTGGGCCTGGCTGACCTAGTTTTCCTTGGGGCCTTCCTTGTGTTTGCCAAGGTGAAGGCTGCTGGAGTGCTGTGCCGTACCAGCAAGAACAGCTGCGATCTACCTGAATACTGCACTGGCCATGAACCTGAGTGTCCAGAAGATGTCTTCCAAGAAAATGGCATCTCATGCCAGAATGGAAATGGCTACTGTTACAATGGGGCTTGTCCCTCACACCTTGAGCACTGCCGCATACTCTGGGGTGCAGGTAATTCATCTTCCTTTGCACGCTTCCTTAGTTCCGTGTTTGCAGACAGTGCTTACACTGAGAACCCCCGTGTAGTGCTGTCTGCAGCTGCCTAAGATGCATTACCCATCTTTCTCACTGGCCACATACCTACCTGTGAATGGTCCTTGGCAGGATGTTCACTGATACACTCTTACTCATAACCCAGCTGAGCCCATGGCAATGGCAGTAGCTCAACACCTATTTACACCCAACTACCAATATAGTACTGAGAAGCCTAAACTGGGCTCCCAGTTTCAAAGGCTTGGCTTCTCTTTGTTTCAGATCATGACTCCATGGTAAGCATACGATGCCTGGTAGTTTATCCCTCAAGCATACTCTACTAGTACAGGCAGGTTGCCTCCTAAAGTAGAAGCAGTGTGCCTCCATCTGTGCCCTGCTTTGGGCTGGATAATTAACTCTGCTGAGTGCCAGTGCCAGTTTTCTTGTCCCCATGCTGATTAGTCTACCCAAAACACTGACTGGATGCTGCCACACTGGTTCTGGTTTACAAGGCACACTACCCAGAAGAGTACAGCATGCTTGAGGTCACTGTTGCTAAGGATGATGCGGTTACTGTGTAGATTAAGGGTTAATACCATACAGGCCACAGAACCATTGGTTCTCAGCCACAGAGCTGTGGGTCTTTGCACACACTGGGCAGGGTGAAGGGAGCTTTGCCTGTGCCATAGCTGGTGGTGGGGAAAAGCAATGGCAGCAGCTGGGTCCGGCCCACCTCAGACCCAAGCTGGGTTGTTCCGGCCCATCACTCCAAAACCTTACCAATGACTGGGTTAGGCATAGCTTTAATTTTCCTACCACACAGCGTTGAGATTGGGTACCCAAGATCAGACACACACGGGTTCACTGCCACTCCAGAAAAGTTTGGCCCTAACATGGCCTTAATGTCCGCAGGCATGATTCAAGTTTGGAAGCATGCCGGTGAGCACACTTGGGGGTCCCCATCTGAGGCTGCTCTAACCATTTGTTTCCTCTGTCTATGAGACAGGGCACTGCGGTAATCCTGGAGCAGCACCACTGACATGTTTCTGGGATTGGAGTATGCCTGTGGGCGTAGGCGGCAGGGTCTGTTGGCCCTGCCATAGTTTGAACCCACTCCAACAACTTAGGCAAGACCAAAATTCATAAAGAGCTTTGAGGTTTCAGATGGAAGGTGCTGGAGAAAGGTGTTACCTAATCACTGACAGAGCATACCTTGGACTCAGAATTGCCTGGTGGCAATTTGTTAGGCAGGGGGGTGTTTGGGAAGCCTGGAAACACCTAGTCAATAGAGGGGGCAGTCAGGGGACTTGGTGGTACCATGTGGGCAGTTTGGGGCTCAGGGATGTTTGGTACGTTGAGAGGGGCTGACGGAGGAGGATAGTTCGGGGGTGGATGGTGTAATAAGAGGACTCTTAAGGGGGCCTGGAGGTGCCTTGTAGGGGGAATCAGCAGGGTGTAAAGATGCTTGGTGGGGTGAGCCGTCGTGGGGCTTGCAGGCGTCTAATGTGGGAAAGGACAGCTGGTGGCCTAGCGTAATTGGAGGCTGTGGAGGTTCTTTGCCTTTGTGTTACCCTCATGTAAGAGCCCTTTTCTGTGTTTCTGCAGCTGCCCAGGTGGCCCCTGATGTCTGCTTCCAGTACAACAGCCATCAGAATCAGTACGTGCACTGTGTGACTGAGTCTGGGAAAAAACCCTGCCTCCCCAAGTAAGGAGCTGAGCACTTAGTGTCATGGGTGCATGTGACTTTGCTAGTATATGTGCATACATGAGCTGACCTACCTTTGAGAGAGAGTGCGCATACTTATAGGTGCATGTATTTTTGTGCGACTATTCATGCAAGGATGAGTGGGCAAGCATTTGTGAGAGAGTGCACATGTGTGTGTTCATACACATGTGTGAGCATGCATTCTTTCATGAGATAGGGCATATATACACATATACATGTAGAGTCTTCTGGGTTTCGAGTTTTCTGGGGTTCTAGTCCTTCGGTGTTTCAGGTGGTTGAAGCTCCAGCTCCCCTAAAACTGTTTTCTTTAGGCCAGAGCTGGAAAGGCCTGTCTAAAACATGCTATACAGTGTTCAGAGGCAACAATCCAGTGATTTTTCACCAGCACTTAACTCATCCTGTAGCTAAAGGCAGAGGTGCTGTCCTAGCCATTGGCATTGATTGGGGGATGCAAGGCTCTAGTTTGCCCTGGTTGTGATATGCCATCCTTAGAGTAGGAGGAGATCCCAACATACCCATTCCTTCCTTTGCCTTCTCTTTGAGGGATGTTAAGTGTGGCACACTGCACTGCATGAATGGGAATGATAACCCTACCATAGGAGGTCGCTTCCGTACTTTGTCATTTGGAGGGGTGACATGCAAAACAGCAATCGCTGATGAGGATGACAATGAAATGGTGACAAACCTCATGGTGGTGCCAACAGGCACCAAATGTGGAGAGGAAATGGTGAGTACACAGGGCCGGCTGATGTTTTGTTCCTTCATTGGAGCTGCTAATGTCTGCTGGGCTTTGGGAACCTGGGGAAGGGTTTCCAAGGGACCTGCCAGACAGGATGTGGAGGCAGACCTACAGCAAAGAGCTGAAGGAGTGGCAGAGCTGCTATCTGCACTGAGACTGCCCTGTGCTTTTGTCAGGATGAAGCAGGTGGTGGGTAATGATTTCAGGGCAGGTCTTCACGCAGGGTGCTGAAAATGTTGTGCCTTCTGGTTTCAGGTCTGCTATGCTGGGCGCTGTCAGAACCTCCTGATTTATGGTGCCAAAAACTGCTCTGCCAAATGCAACAATCATGGGGTATGTTCAGGCCATGATGCTGCATAGGCCCTGGGAAGTAGCATTTTCCCTGGTTATGAGAGTCATACAGGGGGCTGGTGTGGCTTCCATTGCCATGATGCACTGGGCTTCCTCTGATGGAGCTGGAGCAAAATGAGGGACTGTTTTAGAAGCAGGATTCCCTGTAGGAGAGGGCCTGCTTTGTTCCATGCACGTCCCCAGCACCTGCAAGAGGGTTAACAGAGGAGGTAAGTGAGGCTGATGAGGGGACTCTGCCTTGCATCCCCATGTGAGCCTGCGGCCCCTGGTTGAGCCGCTACTATGGCAGTTAAGAAGGTGGTTGGCCTCCCTCAACCCTGTTCTGTGCTGAGGACAACTCCCTCCCTATCCCCCTTCTGTGCTCAGGCTGCAGAAATAACTAGTTATGTCACTAGAAGGGCAGTCCTCAACCAGAGTGGCACTGTCAAATTCAGAAAAGTTATGGAGGGTGCCTTGAGTGTAAAAAGGGTTGAGAACAACTAGACTAAGGTGTCTTATTTTATGTTGTCCCTACCTACCATTCATTCCCACACAGCACATGCTCACCAGGCAGCCACTGAGGGGCTTCATGGAGTCTGTGTGAAAACTGGCCCCATTCCCTGAAACAGTGTCCACTGCATTTTGCTTTTCTCAGCACATTCAGCCTCAGAAAAGTCAGTCAGGGCATATATTCATTGTAGTCAGATGCCCCTGGGATTCCTAGGGTATGTTGTGTCATGGAGGAACGTGGCTTAAGCTGGGTGGCAGCATTTTGTAGCACAGTTCAGAAGAATGTCCTGCTTTTGTTGTGAGAGGAGAGAGAGTTCCAGAATAGAGTATTTGGGGAGTGCTGACAGATGCAGATGCAAGGCTATGGGATTGTCCCAAACTTGGAAGCAGGCTGGGGCTGAGTAGTAGCACTTGGGACAGAACAGCATCACAAGCTATAGCATTTCACACAGACAGGCATTGTCTGGGGTTCATTCCCCTGTGATATCAGGAAACATGGATCCTGTTGTTTCAGTGTCTGGGTATTATTGGGTAGTAACTGTGATCCTGAGGCCAGGACAAAAATGCAGTGCTAACCATAAGTCCAAATCTTCACTCTTGCTCAGGAGAGCCAGGTTGCTGCTGACTCTGATGGGTATGTGACTTGAGTAGGAGTTGTAGGATTGGGCCCAATACTACTGTTCGTGAAACGTGATCAGAAAGTCTGAGTTCCTGCACTTGGCCCCTAACCCTGCCAGATTTAATTTCAGGTTTGCAATCACAAGAGGGAATGCCACTGTGAACCCGGCTGGGCACCACCCTACTGTGATCGAAAGCTGTCAGAGATTGCATCAGGTATGGCATGGGCTGTAGTTCCTGGGGAAGGGAGTGGGGTTACCCAGAGGATAGAACTATGGAAGGGAAAGGTAGGGCCCTAGAGAGGTTTGATGTCCTCTCTGTGAGACTGGACAGGCTGAACTACTCATTCCTGGGTATGTGCTGGATAAACAAAGGCTTCACCCTCTTCCCTAATTTCAGGGGTGTGCTCCTTCTTCTACAGTTTGCAGCATACCCTGGGCTCCCCAACAAGAGCAGAGGAGGAATAAGCCAAAGCCTGCAGAGCACTGTGGTCACAGTAAAGGGACGACTTATATCCTGATCACTTCCTCTCTGTTTCAACAGGCAGAAGTAGTATAATTGTTGCGGTCGTGCTGACAGTGGTGGTACTATTGGCTGTTCTGATTGTTGGAGGCCTAGTGTTTTTCAAAGGCCATGGGAAGAAATACTTCCAGAAGGGGTAAGACTTGCTGCTGCTATATGCCCACCAGTGCACAGACCCCATGCAGGGGGCTAGCTTCTAGATTCAAAAGGACATTCAGCATCCAGAACCCAGGATGATATTCTGCACAGAATGCTTGGACAGACAGGTGGAAAGGCTGATTAGATATCATTGATTGACCTCTCCCACCAGGCCACTGGTATTAGTAGTTGTGCTCATTTTCAGATATCCAGCTGCTTATTTGAGCCCCAGAGAATAATATTCTCTGTTTGCAGACAAGTGACCTCAGGCTGCCATACCTATGGAACGCCTCCGAGGTCTGAGAAGGAACACAGTCCTCTGTGACCATTCACTGTTTGGCCTTTTGTGTGGCAACATCTGTCATTCACAGAGCCCCTGCTTGGTTTCTGATGAGTAACCAAGGGGTGAAAACCTCTGTGACCAAATCTCCTGCACCAAGCCTCTCCAGATACTTGCTGTCCCCCTACAGACTCTCCTTTCCCATATCTCCCCTTCTACCTGCTGTTGGTGGGTGGTTACTGGATTGTTTCTAGAAAGAGACTGAGAAATACCATAATGTTATATCATACAGGACAGGATATAAGCTACACAAGCACTGTGTCCAGGAGGACCCTGGAGCATGGGGTACTTGCAGGTACTCATGAATCCCCATCTGGTAGACTCAGTTTTCAATGAAGCCAACCATGCTGACCCATAAAAAGCAAGCACTTGTAGAGCAAACCATGTCCTTCTCACACTCCATGCATTAGGCAAGTTCCAGCATGCCCTTACACTGCCATCAGCATTGCCCAGTTGCATGGACTTTTCCTACCCACTGTGCTTTTGCCAATAGAGGGACAGGTGCAGGCAGCCAGGTGCCCAGAACTGCTCTTTAGATAGGAAGGGGATAGATGGGGATCTCTAGGACAAGGGCTTGAGCGGGGTGTCAGCTCCAGAGTACATGCTGGATGTGTGCTCATTCACCCAAGGACTGAAAGCATTGTGGTGACACCTGTGTCGTATGAGAGGCCCTATCTGGGGCTGAGAGCAGGGCAAATTAGGCTTCTCTGGGTATGAAAGCCCCTCTTTTGTGCTAGAAAGACCCAGTGAAGAAGCTCACTCACCCAACTTGAAAGGCCTGGTGGAGTCTCTTTCCCACTAACTCTACAGAGCTCAGTGGTGCTCTATTCTGATGTGCATCAAGGCTGCTTGAGAGAAGCTAGGGGATCGGGAGCTATACCAGCCTCAGCTGGACAAACAGCATATGCTGTTTGAATATCTTATGTTCTTCTTCCACCTTGCTCCATTCTTCACCCAGTTTCTCAATGTGTGGCATGAACTGTGGTCATTGCAGAGGGACCAAAATGGTTGAATAGGGCCTCTGGGCATCATAGTATTACAATGCACAAAGATGAGGTTTTTAGGGTTTCACTGGATCAACAGACGGTAGTAATAAGTATTCCACTCTCATCACTATAAAAGTAGTAGCTCAGTGGAGGGCATGCCTGCTACAGGACTGAGATTGTCTGAGAAAGTCTCTTAGCACCCCTGGGCTGAACAGTGCCTAAGCATCTCCTGTGGTTCACAATAGAGTCACAAGGTGACAAAGTCATGATGTTCCATGAAAGGAGAGGCTTGGTGGTATATGTGCTTCTCTGGGTGTAGAAGCAGCAGAGAGATCAGGCAGTGTTCTGCAGATGCTGCTCTGACTGATCATCATATGACTCATGACAGACACTCAAACAACTCGACAGCCCTTTCAGATACAAACCTGCTTGTGCAATTCTGTGACTTTTCTGCAGTAAGGTAAGTTTCTAGGAAGAGACTGAGAAGTCTCTTAATATCATACTCCACAGGGCAGGACACAAGCCACACTGTGCCCTATTACTGGGGACAGGCCCTGCATCCAAGTGTTGGGGATGGAACAGACTGGCATGTGATATGGCTGAAGGAGCTGTTCCATGCAAAATCCTTAGGGCCTTTCCCTCCTAACCTGGGAAATCCACCTAAGTTTCTGCCTAAAGAGGGAAGATAGGAAAGACAGTCAAAATAATGAGTCATTTTGGAGCTGGGTGTGGAGGAAAATGAGCAGATCTTCCCTGTTACACAAATACTGCTGTCAGCAGTGACCTTGCTGGGTAAGAGTCAGTGGGAGAGAAAGGCAGTTTGCTGAATAATCCATTTTAACTTCCCTATTCTGCTGCTCTTTTCTTTTAAAATAATTTCTAAAAATAATCAGAAATTTTGGGCAGCCTG